AGGCAAACAACCGTAAACAAGGTGCGAGAACTAGATGAGTCGAGCGTGAGTCACGTGAGAGTCCGGGAAAAGGAAAAGAAAAGGGAAAAGATAATGGATAATCGGGTGTCCGTAACAGACTCGCTGTCCTTCGCACATGCCTACGTTCGCTCGGCGCTCCGGGTGCATCCCTTATTTGCGTACTCCACTATGTAGAGCGCCATTTTGAGCACTGGGGGCTGGCCGCCTGCTTCGTCCGCTACTCTTTTGGTCCGCTATTGATAGTGAATATTGACAGTCCAAGTTGAGCGTGAATTTTTGGGCACCGAATAGATTGGCACCGAGAGGTAGAGGCGATGTTGATGCGAAGATCGACCACCCTGGCCGACGGGAGTTGCGCGAGACATGATATCTAGACCAACGCGGGCGACATGAAGGCTGTGCAACGATGGCCGGGTTGCGTTGGTGCGGAGGGCTTATTTGCACATATTTATGTCCGTCCCTGAGCACGGGCCGCCACGACAGTCCCATCTCCAGACCGCCACCTCCCCTGAGGCTTCGCCTTGTTGGAATAGAATCCGATCAGAGCATCCGGTCCTAGTATTGCCGGGGTTTCCTTCGGCGCTGATGAGGAAAGAATGCTCAGCAGAGTCTGCCGGGCGACTGCGATGGAACTATGCATCTGAGTGTTATATATGTGTTCCAAGATGAATGGCACTCCGCCGTACGCCCTACAGGAAGTTTACTGCGCGCACCCCTGATATTCGTGCTTCACTTTCTTCATGACTGTTCACCGACCTCTCCAGAACGCAAAACGCGCGCGTGGCCGACCACCGAATGCCGGCCCTCTCCAAACGCAGATAATCGTGGACAACGTGGGCGAATACAGATCGCTGAAGGCCAGACGCGCACCTCAAAGTGACATCTCTGTGGCCGTGAACAAGATGTCTAGACAACTCATACAACAATTCGGCTGGGATAGCCCCCTACGTGCATCTGGAGTGGTCGAGCGCGGAGAGCACGACGACTCAACACCGGAAGAAGGCCAACAGAAGCGCAAGGACGAGACGCTCAAGAAGGTTAGAAAGGTATGTTTCATCAGCGTGAGTTCAATCTGCCACCTGAAGTTCATGTTCTTAGGAAGTCATGAAGATCTGGAGAAAGACCCTCACGATTGAGGCGGAGCCGTCGATACAAGGCTCACCGCAACTCATAGATTTGATCAAGACTTTCGCCTCCAAACCACGCCGGAGGCAGGATTACAAGATATGGGCCAAGTCGAAGCCGCGTCCCGCTCTCGAAAAGGAGGTGGACTCACGTCATGCAGCCGCGTTGGAGAGCATAGAGCCAGGTTCTACGCCGCCACCGCGGGTATCGATATGGAACACAGTCGCATCGGAGTGGTATAAGCTGGCGGGACCGAAGGATAAGAAGGTAACTCGCAAGCAAGCCAGACGTATTCATCGACGGGCCATGAAAGAATGGGAGGCGAGCGCTTCCACAATGCCTCAGTCGCCCGAGGAAGCGATCCGGTGCATATCTGTTCGAAACTTATTTGACTTGATGAATGACAATGGGTATCTAGGTTTATGGAGCGTTCCCAGACGTTCTTAGGCGATCTCATGCATTTCTTTGCCAATCGCATATCCGGAATAGCGATCGTGTTTCTCAGTGGACCTGAGGGGTCAAGTTTGATGTCAGCGATCTATTCTCCATTTGTCTTGTTTTCATACACTCAAGACCCGAATAGATCTGAAGGCGTCTGCAACATAGCTGACATGCCGAAAGTAATGCATACCGAGGCGAACCCGTGGGGTACGAAACGCTTCCAACACGACTTGGCGACGCAAGCGCAAACACTGAACAGTAAGAAGCCTCGTACCTTATCTCTCTATGCTTTGTGCTAATATATCCCGCGATAGATGCTAAATGGGGCGTAACGTCAGCCTCGAACTTGTCTGGAGCTGGAGATTGGGTGGAGAATGGCGGCGAAGACCAATATGAGGCGAGAGGGGGTCAGATCGAGGCCTTTCAAGTGGGTGATGGGGTGCGCGAACTGGAGACAGAGAAGGAACTCAGTGGCGGAGAAGAGGAAGACCGGGATGACAACGGTGATGAAGCTGAGAGCAGTGAAGACTTGAGTGCCGACGAAGCTGCCGACGTTGACGCCGTTCGCGGCGTCGAGTTCGTTCTACCCTCTCGACCCTTGCATGAGGATGCAATACCGTCGCGTCCTGTTCGTGGTGCGTAACTCTTGATCGCCCTGTATTTCATCAGTGATGCCGATACTCGTCGTAGCCCCAGCATCAGAGCAAACAACGTCGCAGGCCCTCGTTCTCTCCGGCCGCGAAAGTCAAGACTCCACAGTCGTAAGCCGCCTCACACGCTTGCTCGTGATGTCCTGACACCTCCCCCAGGTTCACTCTGCCAATCTTGCGGTTGAGATGCAACCAGGGCGTCTCGCGGCCATGTCGTCTGCGTTTGGATCTCAATATCATCGTCGCGAGCAGACGGCAGAGGACCTGAATGAAAGCCCAGTACGTCTTGGTTGACCACATGTCTTCCTGTTTTCATCATTCAAACAAAATGGCTGAAGGTTGAGTATAATCGTGCCTTTCGTGCTTTAATCGCGAAGATCCTGCCGCGAAAGGTGTGGTTGGAGGAGTCCAATACTGTCAACTTTCTCAAGGCAGTACCACCCAAACTATCTGGTCGGGTAAGCACGAGCTCAGCATGCAAGCTCAGCCTCGCCTACTTGTCTTATGAGCAAAGCAAAGCGGTCAGTCTCAGTGTACCATCATTAACTAGTGCTCATGCGAATTTCAGGAGGAGCTGGCATTGGTGATGAAGACAATGGGTGCATCCGCCGTACCGACCCCGGTCTATACGAATACGCTGTACCAACGGGGTTTTACGTCGCGTTGGAATGGAAGAGCGGACAGCGTTGAGACCAGGACTCCAGCCAAGCTAGACGCAGACGTGAACGTGACTTTACCACGCCAATGGGCGCTGCTTCAGCCGGCGGAGCGCCTCGATATGCAAGGGTGCATATGTGTTGCGCCAAATGTCGATATGGACTGGCGTAACGTTCTTGCCCCTGGTCTAGAAGGCATACGCCTTCTCGTTGTGACGACTTTGGTGTGGGCCTACAACATCAAAGACGACGAGCTGACTGAATGGTCGAGCCTGGCCACAGACATGATCCAAGTTCTCGGTGTCTTACTCGAACAGGAATGTCTACGAGCAGCTACTAGCGCTACAGCAAACCTCAGCGATGAGGATGATGGGCTTAGACCTAAGAAGTCAGCGCGTACATGGTACGGCATCCTACATTCAGCACGCTAAACGATCTCACTGATATCGGCCCTCAGGAAGAAGAGCGCTAAGCTACGGGAGATGGAAAGTCGCAGTGTCAGTTGATTCGAACTTCCGTTGGCTACGTAGTAGGTTCCAGCCGATACGCGGCTCAGCGTCACAGCCGAGGCCGCCGATTTGGGCGTAGCTGGCAACTTGCGAAGTCGTTGATTAGTACAATTCTACCTGCATGCCTTCCTTTATTGCTCAATTATTGCTTGCGAAGTTACGATGCGCCATGTGCACACCGGTTTCAGAGCTGGCGCGGTGCGGTTCGCCGAACAGTTCAGTTGAAGCTGAATATTGAATCCCGCTGCATGGGTAGGGGGCGTTCCTCGACTTCAATCGTCTGTATCGTTGAAACTTCGGCTCCGCGCCTTAGGCGGTGCCAGCTATAGACTAGGCCAAGCGGCACGGCACTGTTACGGCCTCGCGCCGCGGCATTTGCCGCGGCATTTGCCACGCAACTTCGCTCTTTCCGCGACTCTTGACCCCATGTAGCAGCATAACCATGAGACTGTCACTGACCAACTTCCTACCCAACACTGACATGCCCAGGGACCAACACTCTCGAACCCGGGGTACCGCCTCATGACATCATACCTGTCCATAAATGAGACTCGTGGGATGCCCCTGCAGCCATAGGCTATGGAACTCCAACTGGGGGCTTCCCAAACTGCGCCAGCAGTTTCAGATCAGATTCCCGAATGTCGAGGTTTGAAGTCCGAATTCCGGAAGACCTCAAATCTCCAACAGTGATTATAGTAAAAGCTATTCAATATCCTACTGCCACTTCGGGACCATAATGATAAGGGGCCTCTCAGCCATTGGGAATGATGACTCCCGTATTTCCATCCAGCCAACTCTTGGGTTACAAGTGAAGTATGTTATACAGTAACTCTGTGTCCAACTCTCAGAACCTGGGATGCATCTAAGAATAGATTTTCGATGGATGAACAATCGAGTCTTCAGCACTATCACAGTGCTCAGTCATATGACTAACATGTTTTAGGTGAACCTTCGTAGCAAGTGTGGATTTACATCAGATACACCGGGGAAAGCAAGATTATGAACTATAGAACACACCATATGGATGTTCAAGAGTACAATGCAAGCAGAGGATAAGCATACAGGTAGTTAGTCTATGCCTATCATACACGTTGTGTGCATCACTAAGGCTCGTGGATTGCGGCAGGATGTAAGGTGAGGCAAAGCTCCTTAGCGGCATCATGACAGTCACAATGTTCAACAAACGCGTCACGGACACGTGTAACATGTCATGTGCATCGCTATACTTTAATCCGCAGAGGCTTTCATCTGGGACTGTGTTAGCGAGTTCGAGATTTCCCCGAACTTGGGACTTTAAAAGTCAAATGGCCGGGAGTTTTGCATGTCTCGGGGACCATAAATATTGGGAGTGGACACGGCTTGGGAGTTTTGTATCTCCTTACCCCCACGTGTTTCAATCACGCGCAGAGACTGAATTAGGCATTCCAAGTTTGCCCTCAACATCATATATCAAAGTTGGGAGTAAAATATAGTTGGTGTCATTACTAGCTAAATGACGCAAGGTGCGCGATCTATTACATCATGAGAATATTCCGGGATGACTTTGGGCCCGTCGCGTCCTTCGGCCCGGCATACTGCATGCTTTTTTGTATGCCCTGCCTCTTAATTACTCGGAGAGATCAAGGCTTTTGCGCGTCAAGGGGAAGTCATCGTACATATCGCGGGTTAGCTAGCCCACCAGAAAGCCTGGTAATTATGTCACGCCATGGGCATACCCCGGAGGGCTGTGGTGTCCCAAAGGGCCCTCGTCCTTCGGAAAATGTGCCATAGCCGGCCCGGTGCAAACCAGCAGTTCATGTGATGTGTCAGGTGAGTGGCGAGACCGTTGCAAGCGTCTATAAAGGGCTCATGTGCCATACAGGCTGTCTTTCATCTGCACCACCATCTAGTGTCCACTGAATCATGTCTCCCATCTGCAGTGCCCTGTCCTTTCCTTCGCTCCTTGACTACCCATCACGGTAAACCTCCGACATAGCGTAAATGACAAGCAAGGTCTTCCGGACTGCTTTCATGCAATGGGGCTCTTCTTCCAATCCATCAATATATACACAGAAGGTATCTCGTACCCAGAATCCTTCAACCTTGGCCATCAGGATGAGCATGTAACGATGAGTCTCAATCAGTATCCCGTTGATCGTAGGTCTACTTGGGTTCAATTATAATGAATGCCGGTATGCCCACGATCAACGGGATCCTCGTAGAGATTCTTCGTGTTCTAGCTGGTGGCCGAGGATGGAGGATTCTGGGAACTGGGTACGCTCTGCCTTGACTATGAGTGTGTTCTGACAAGTATCCAGGGAATTACAGAAGAGAAGGAGTGGGAAGGCAGGGTTGCATGGAGCTCCTATGGAACTACAAATCAGGTGCCATGTCGATTTTGTGGTAAGATATTTCCAAGAAGCCATTGATTGTGTACTAACCAGACTGCATATGAAGGGTGGGACATAAGTACCAGGGTCATGAACTATTTTATGTGTGGGGCAACAGGTGTACCTTATATTCTGAGAGACATATCATCTGGAGCAAGATCTCGCAAGCATTTCATATTTAAACTCCAAACTCAGTGAATTCAAGTTCCCCATTCTCCGAGGTAGCTCATTACAGCCGTTGACAATGAAGTGCGGAAATGCGAATCGCGTCGACGCGCCTCGGAAGCACGGCCCAGAGCCCGACGCGTCCGCAGGTTCGATCCCGAGCTCCCAAGAAACTATTACTTGTGTTTTATTCATGCTTAAACCTCCTGGAAGTTTTAACAGTACGTTTATTACTGTATCGAGACGGTACAGTGAGCTCTTTTGCGCAAATACCATAGGCCTAGGGACGAGCAATAAATTGTATAGGTGAGTGGGAGCTTTGGGAATCGAACCCGCTCCAGCTCGGAAGTGCATATGCCGCTGCCCCACGCGTTCTGGGATCCTGGGAGGTCGTGGCGCGATTCGCGATTCCGCACTTCATTGAAAACGGCTGTAACATCTGCGAGTGAAACCGAGGAAGTTGATATTACTATCTTCGAAGTGTCTTACTACAGCAACATCCGGAACAAAGTGCGTGCGGTTAACACTCTCGGGAGTCCCGATGGATGGACGGCTGACAACTCTCATGTACGCAGCCACGGTTCACGAGCAGAGCAGGTGTCTCGGCATAGCCTCCATGAGCGCATTTCAGAACTCTGCTCAGAGTGCGCATCTTGGGATATCATTGGGGTATGTGCCTCGGGATTATGAGTGGGATATGCTTCTGGGGATAGTATTCATCCCTCAAATGTCGAATCTTCTCCACAAGGTCTCCCCATATTCAGATCACCCAAAGATCGGCAGTTCAATTCAAATTATGCCGCCTCTGGGAAGCTTTTCCGGGACTCTATAAGAGGATCGTTGTGACATGGTGCTTGCATGAACTTGATTGTGCATGAGCTGGTGTGTGAGAAGTCTGGGACCGTAAAGGTTTAACTCCCGAGAAGCGCACGGTTCCATAGATACACTGGGAGTAGTAAGCGATCATATGGGGAGTACAAGAGGTGAAGCTGTTGTTAAATAATATGGAATGATCAAAAATACCCTTGGAGAAACTATATCGCCCCGAACCATGAAATGAGACAGTAAATGTTGGGGCGCCGGGGGGAGAGTTTATGTTCAATGAAGTCCACCGGAATGTTCACGTAGTCTGGCAGATGCACCTCGGTGATATCCGTCCCGTAGGTCAGATCCAGCGGGTACTTGAGTCCACTGAGTGAGGATCTCCGGAAGCATCCACAAGCAGAGACCTGTGTTGGAGTACGATAAGTCTGCGGGCTGTAGAGGGTATCGCGAGTCTTCCAGGCGGCATGCGAGGTCGGTCAGAGCATTCTGGGCGTAATATCGCTTCCCCCGAATGAGAGAGCGAAATGCTGTGTTGACGTGCAGGAGGGCCTGCAGTCCGCGCCGCTCGCGAGCCAAATTCATGGAACAGACTTGGGTTTGATGGGTTCGAGCACCGCAATGGGTATAAGCGTTGCAAGCTGGAACACACACACGGTAGGCAAGTCGCTTGGTCCGGCAACGGAGTCCAGTTTGCAAGAGGGCGGATGTTGCTATGTGAATGAGACCGCGCCTCGACTTGTTCATCCAACAGGATGGCGAAGATTTGCGACCAGAGTTCGGGGGGCAATGGATACTTGACGCGCGCCATGATGTTTGCGATGGAGGACAGAGGCAAAAGCCGCCGGGCAAGACCGGCGTCATCGGGCTGCGCCAAGCGGATCTCGAGGGTACATCATTGCCTTTTGGGGCGGTCCGGTGTAAATCGATGCAGCTGCACGTGCGGCCGGGCAAGCAGATCCGAGTTGGGGAGGCGGGGCCGCAAGGTTCGTTTACTGTCACGTATCTGATGACATGCCTTGAGGCGAAATTCGCAACCCCGTATCATCGCCGTTCTCAGAGGTTGAACTATAGCTCCCATGTCTCTACTACTACTACCCAAGGAGATACGGCAACGGATCTTGCTGGAGGTTGTGTCGGCTATCCTAGCTAAGCGCGATGCTCGCAATGTGCTACCCTTCCCCGACAGTCTGCTTCCTCCGCTATCTGAAGCTGAAGGTTCAGGGTTTCCGGGATCCTTCGGCAAGGACCCCATCATTCCCTATCTCGCTCACGTCAACGATCGGATATCTATCAAGGCGTGCACGTCCCTGGAGGGGAGTCTCAGTGGGCAGACACAATACTGCTACCAAGACCACCCTCGACCGTCAGATGAGCAGCAGTCAAGGTCCATACTTGCCCTTCTTTGTATTTGTCGGCAACTGAGGGAAGACCTTATCGACTTTCAAGCATTCTGGTCTCAGATTGCCTTATTGTACCCCTGCTTCCTGCCTGACTCTCTCAACTGGGCCGGCAATGGTTCAGTGCACCCTTATCGTCTGGAGACTGCGCACGGACTTTGCGCTTGCGCACTTCCAATGATCTTGCCCCGGGTCCATCGTGCTAGCCATCTAAGCCTGTCCCTACCGCTCAAACCCTGGTATGGGACCCACCCCTCAGAACAAATCTTCGAGCGACTGGCGGTCATGGGAAGCCCCCGCATACAACACATCCAGCTGTGTTACGACTCTTATGAACACGCGCTAGAGGTTGTCGGCGACCAGTCAATGGAAATTCGTTCGCTGCTCACATTTTGCGGGGTAAACAACCCAATCGTGGCCTGGGGCCCCAATCTGACGAGTCTAAAGCTCGCCTCCACGACGGAGAAGGTGGAACTTCCCGTCGGTCTCGTGCTTGCTGTCGTTAGGCAGTGCTTGCTTCTGGAGGTGCTTTCCCTTCAGACGGTGCTGTCAATAGATGAGACAGATCAATTGGCGGATGAGGAAGAGGAAGTCACTTCAACCACTCCACCCATAGCACTCGTACACCTTCGATTCTTTCTACTCTGCGATAACGTGCAGATGTGGACGGAGGTTTGGCAGAACTTGGCTGTCCCACCTTTCACATCACTTCATCCCGACATCGTTATTGGTCGCCTCGATCAGCTCGATCGCGACTACGATGATTACGCCGAGGAGGCCATATCAAATGGCTTCGATGGACACTGTGTGTCCTGTAGGGTGGTCGTTGTTGATTATCATCAAACCGACTTGTCTCCCGGGTGGGACCGTGTTCCCGAGTACATCCGCTTCGCATTTTCTCCTACGAAATACGGTGCATTGAAGGAACGTGATCCTTCCTCAATTGCAGTGAGATCCTCCCTCACGCTGCGATTCCGCGGGATTGCTCTGGATAAGAGGTATCCGTACTCTGAAGGAATCGGGGACATGCCACAGCCTACCAACTGGCTAGACAAACTCTTCAACGGTCTTAGTAAAGGAACTCGTGAATCTGCTTCACTGGACCTGACGACGACGGAAACACTGGTGATCAAAGCCGGAGGGCGGACACGAAATTTTGATGACTTTGCGTGCATCTCTCAGACCTTCCCGAATATACACACCCTGGTCCTCCACGGAGTGATGGACACGGAATCCCGAACGGCCATTGGCGTCATATCCGAGCTTTCCAAGCCCACCACACCGTGGTCTCGATTGCAACGCGTTTGGTTTCCAGACTGGGACCCGATTAGCGAAGTTGGGGAACATTGGAATTTGGAACTTCGGGATCGCAGTTCCCGCATATCCCACCGGGATATACATTGGCTGACTGTTAGAGATGGTGTTTGGGAATGAGGGGTGTGTCATACAAAACAGCTGTATGCTAATAGCAGGGAGTTTCTTATGTACAATAAGACAGTATGGCTGTTGGAAAGGTGTGATCTGAATGAAGCACACCACATCGCAAGGTTGGTGAATCTCAGTCGGAAATCCCGACAGTGAAAGGAATCTATTGTGGTCAATATCCGTGTTCAGCCCCGTGTACTTACTGTCAAAGCATTGATTCAAGTTGCAAACAAGCGTACATCAGCCATATTAGACCCATTCATCTATCCAGCTTCCGGGTAACCCAGGCCTATGTTCCCGGAATAAACACAGCTTGGAAGTAGTCCTGGCTCCCACAGGGAAATTCACATTCTCGGGGAGAATCAGAATGTCCCATGGGACATCCCCAAACTTCAATGGACCCATATATCTCGGGCTCTATCAGAAAGACTTCCCTCATACTAATCATGCATACTATCGTGTTATGTAAGATATTCGACTGCACTAAGGGGACGTGACATCACTTCAGGCACTATCCCTTCTTGTTCCTAGTCTCCAAATGCGGACTATGCACGGAAGACAGTCGTGGTCTGCCTCACCTTGCCTTGTAAGGTCGTACCAGCCCATGATAGAAAAGCGGTGACGCAAATCGGCCAGCGAGCCATGCTCATCACGCAAGGGCGATCCGGACGTGACCAGAACTCACCCGTACCTCGTCGGGGCACGTTTTGATTTCTTCTTCCATCGGCGACTTGCATAGCACAAGCTGTATTTATTGGACCAATTTATTAGACTAGAGAACATGCCATATGCCAGAAGAGTGCACACGTAGTGGAAATTGTAGTGGTCATCCGCTGGATGGCACTACCGCACCCCACCTCTTCCGATTTTGCTGCGGTGCTGACGCTAGTTCAAGACGCACGAGATGTGTCAGCTAACCGTACAAACCAAGCGCCCCGGATTTGATGCAGACTATCTTATTTCCTCGTGCACGCGGCCCACCAGCGGGTTCGGCGCACGAGACCTGAGCTATATGAGGAGCCGCGGGGGGCGGGGAGGAAGGCGGTCGTAGCATCGTGCAAAGTTGTTCCGACCCAGCAGGAACATTAGCGTAGGGGAGTGGCCGCTAGCTCTCGCCAGCGAGCGGCCTGCTCGCTAGCGCATGGCTGCTGCATCATCATGAGAACGAGTTAGCAGACGTTGCTAAGCTGCGCTAGCGAGTGTTGGCTTGCGGGTAGAGTGCTCGCCAGGGATCTCCCCAAGGCTCCCTTTCGTAAATTTCGTAAAGCCAAAATTCAATCCACTCGATAATTCTGGAATAATCAAAATGATTTGGCCATACGTTACTTACACGATATATGGAGCCCGTATAACCAGTCACATAGATCGCATGGGCTGCCAGAACGTAGCCGACGCGTACTGTCATGGTAAGCCGGCTCGGCGGGAAAAAGTTCGGTCAAGATGCGATGCGCAAACAACTAAGTTCGCACACCTTTCCTAGCTAGCGACGCCCTTCTCTCTGACCTACAACGAATCGTTCAGGCATCGGGAAAATCAGCAGGCGAAGAAAACTGAGCGGTGGCACACTCACTATCATTCCTCAAGCCAGGCACCAGACGACCGGCTGTCGACAGGTAAAATCAGACAACGACAACGACGGCAATGATAAATATGACGTACGCGGCATGCGTTGTAGCCTAAAAGCGGGATGCAAGAAGCAATGTAAGTAGGGCGGAACTGTGAATAGAGTGAGTAATGAGATACGATGTGATATAGCGACCACATGACGGACCCAGATCAATTGGTAGATGTGAGAAGAGGTGAGATATACAGACGGGCCAGATGGGAGCGAAGGGGCGTGCAGCGTTCAGAAAGAATGGGACGACAGTGTGTGATCATAGCCGCGAGGGGAGGGAAATAAAGTGAGGGAAGAGGGGCTGTATGAAGGCAGTAGCGACAAGAATACGGTAGAGGAAGTAGTGGCTGAAGGAAGATGAGCGGAAAGGATGAATGAAGGAGGCAGACGGACAAAGGCGGATGGGGTGATGATGATGGTCGGGAATAAGGCATGCAATAGCGGTCGAGCGCGCTCTCACGCGTGTTGGCCGCGGGACGCAAAATACGGCAAACAACGTGATCGCGTTTCCGACGTCATGTCGTTCGGCCGGTTTCTGAGCTCGAGCGCACACACGTCGTGGGGCCAGCCCGCCATCGCGGTCACTTGCCAGGATGCTTCAGCAGCCCTGCCACTCTCTAGGTCACATCCGGCGATAAACAGTTCTCATGATGCAATACAGGGCCGAGAACGCTTCACTGATAGAAACCACCGGACACGTGCGATATCAGTCAATGGAGATCCCCGCGCCATCTGATCGGTTCTTGTGAGGGATCCACGTGTACCAAACCGGCACCCGCACACTGCACCTTGGATTTGACCGCCGCTTTCCATGTCGACGACTCGCAGGCGACAACCGAGGTTGGTAGACCTCCCCAGAGAGATATGGCAATACATCGCTCTCGAAGTCGTCGCAGCTGTCTTAGCCGAGCAAGACTCTCACCGTTCTTTACCATTTCCTGACAGCCTCCTTCCTAATTTGGAAGGTTCTACACGTCTGGGGCGCTCGGACTCGATCGGGATGAACCCCGCGCCTCTATGGGATGAAGGATTGTCGCCCATGGACTGCACCTGTAGCGACGGATGGCTCAGTGGGCAGACTCAACACTGTTACTCGGACCCAGACTACCCGCCACACCGGAACTCATCCATTCTCGCATTGCTCGCCATCTGTCGCGAGCTTCGGGAGCCGCTCATTGGTTTCCAAGCCCTTTGGGCACAAATTGCACTCATGTTCCCACAATTTCTGCCCGACTCCCTCATTTGGGCCGGCAATAACCCAAACCATCCCCTTCGTCTGGAGACTCTACATGGGCTGTGCTCTTGCGTACTCCCCATGATAGTAACTCGCGCGCACCGCGCCACTCATATACGCCTCGCCATACCCCTCAAACGATCTTATGGCACGCATCCCTCTGACCAGATATTCAACTTGCTCAGAGATGGCCCCAACCGGGGGAGACTCCTGCACGCCGAATTTCGCTACGACCCTTACTACGCAGGCATCAGCGAGATCGCTTTCACGCGCTTCGCACCAAGACGGTTACCCGGACTCCTTTCATTCACTGGAGTCAATAATCCCGAGATCGGCTTTAGTGACGTCTTGACCAAGCTCGAACTCGCCTCTCTGACAGAGGACATGACATTCCCTGTCGACTTCGTATCATCAGTGTTGCGCAAATGTCATCTGCTTGAGCACCTCGTTCTCCAGATGGTGCTTGATGACCCGTCAGACACCATCGTGAACACGAGGCCCATCCGTCTAATGCACCTCAAATTCTTCCTTCTGTGCGACACCTGGGAATACTGGGACTATATCAAAGTCAGGCTGGCATGCCCGGCGTACACGTCCATACATCCAGACATTGTGATAGACGATCCATTCTGGCTCAACAACGGCTACCGCGGGTTTGCTCGCGCAGTCACTCGGGAGTGTTTCGGCAGTCGCCTCATTCCATGCGACGTCGTTATACTCGATTGTCACCGTGGAAGCCCACCATCAGGCGTCTTGGAATACATACGCTTCACGTTCGCGCAGACAGAGGCAGCGGCCTGGGCCGAACGAGACCCTTCGAACCTTGCGGCACGATTATCATTAACGTTTCGATTCCAATCGATCGCAATCCAGAAACGATACCCTCCCAATGTCAGCTCATGGCGCAACTTCGAGCTGAATGCGGATCACGAACGGATTATCAGTGATGTCTTGCTCGGTATATCCGAGGGCGCGGTGACTTACACAGGCCTGGAGGAGCTAGAGAGCACTCACACCTTCATTCAGAAGGGGGACGGTGGAAGCCGGCACCTGGACACTTGTGGAGACCTAGCAAACCTGTTTCCCAACCTCCAGTCGATAGTTCTCCATGGCGTTACAAACCCTAGTTATCCGGCTGTCTGTAATCTGGTAGCCGAACTGGCACGACCGGCCGCAACATGGGGAGCTTTGGAACGTGTCCGATTACCTGATTGGGCCTGGTCTGATGTTATGTGGGGGGAATATAATGCACGCATCCAGGAGCAGGACCCGGATAGACCCGGTGGAGTTATTGAATGGTCAACGTAGTTATGATTGTGGGCAAAACGTAGCGTCAGGCAACATGTTATCATATATATAACCTGAAAGGATTCACTTCCGAAGCGCTGATCAGCCTGCTTTTGCTGCGGGGACTTTTGATGGTTTCCATACTTGGGACTTGATATCGGGATTAGCATGAATCGACGTTGCCGTCTGGGTCCTCTCCAGACATATGACAGATATTCGGAGGTTCGGAAGTCATCTGAGTAGCAGGTCAGGGATGTATATGGCTTACAGCAGTTCTCAATGAAGTGCGGAATCGGGAATCGCGCGCTCGACCTCCCAGGATCCCAGAAGGCGTGGGCCAGCGGCAAATGCGCTTCCACCATGGAGCGGGTTCGATTCCCGAAGCACCCACTCACCGGTACAATTTATCCCTCTTCTCTAGGCCTATAGATCTGCGCAATAACCTCACTGTACTGTCTTGAAAGGCTGTTAAACCTACTGGGAAAGTTTTAGGAGGTTTGAGCATGAGTACGACGCAAGTAAATAGAGCATGGAGGCATTATCCTGAGATCTCGAGCTATTTCTTTCAACAAAGGCAGTAACATGCAGAAACCACATGTGTGTCATATGACTTGGCCTATCTGACCGAGGACATCAACACCATTATCCTAAGATGCCAACCATTCGATATCCTCTTTTCCCTCCCTCGTAACATTCCTCCGGATGCGGGCGTTCCATGCTTCCCATAGGCTTGCACCCCACTCCCAGTCGGGTAGTCGGACTTGCTTTAGATTGTACCAGGGACTGCGCGCGAAAGCCAACTCCGAGATCAGGTCGGAGACGATGTGGAAAGAGTCGCCGGTGACTCCGTAAATGACTAATGAGCGAAGATTTGGGAACGTTTCCGCGATTTCTCTGCAGCTGGAAATATGTCTCGCTCGACCTCCAGCTTTCTCGATGAACGTTTTGGTGACCTCGAAATTTAGATGTGGCTGGTCACGAAGCTGCAAGGCGTACTCGATCCCAGACAGCAGCTCGTGGAAGAGCGCATTCGTCTGCGGAGGATCCCGGGCGCGACCAGCATTTTCCCATTCCTCCGCAGGGTACCTCCTCCCAAGTGCTTCTCCTTGAAAGCGCAGTGTAAGGCTGTCCCGCGCGGTCCACCGGGAAGGATCCCTTTCTGCCCACACGGCGTCTTCTGTGTCTGCGAAGACAAAGCTCACGAACTGAGGTACAACGTGATCATAGCCAGAGCGTTCCTTTCTGACTTGATGATATTCAACCAGCACCACTCTGCATGACATTTGGGCGGGCAGACAGTACCGAGCTGCTGCTGCAGCAAAGTCCTTAAAGCGGCCAAGACGTTGAGACAGGTGGTCCAGCACAATGTCCGCGTGAATAGAGGCATCATCAGGGATGTCTATTCTTGACCGAATAAGACGCCAGCGTTCAAGATAATCGCATAGCAGGAAGTACCTCAGATAGAGGAGAGAAATCAAGGGTGACTGTGCATCGACGTCTTCAACAGCATCACGTAGTGCCGTTTGGACGCTCAGCTCCTCTAGGCGTGGACATTGGCCTAGTGCTCCCAGGAAAAAATCGACTGGCAAGGCGACATCGTCACATTCGGACGCGATGTTCAGTCTCCGTAAGCTCTCTCCGTGGGCTATGCGCAAAATGTTCACCCCGATATATGACTGTAGAAACGGAAGCTCGAGACTCTGCGGTGTATGTGGTGAAGTACTGGGAGTGGCATGCGGCGAATCATGGCGCAGCTCTAAATGCCGTAAGCGTCGGCTAGAAGAGTTGCGCAGCAAATCAAAAATCTGATCGCAAGGATATTGTTCGCCGAATGGTGCGCGGGGTAAGGCGATGCGTATATGTGTAGCGCGCGTGACGCGTGTTAGGAGCATCGGGAGTACGCAGGAGCACAATCCGTATGATGTTTCCAGTCGGAAGGGGTGTTCCAAACCACTCCCAGCCCAGTTCAGGGAGTCTGGCAGGAATGGGGGAAACAATAGCGCGATTTTAGCCCAGAAGGGCTGAAGGCCAATGAGATGGCCGCGGAGTACGCGGCAGATAGCCAACAGCGCAAGAATGGATGATCGAATGTGTGGCGGGTGTCGCAGTGAGCAGTGTTGGGTCTGCCGGCTGAGCCTTCCGTCTCGGCTGGTGCAAGCCAGAGCCGGTAAGCTAGGGTCCCAGCGTGCCAGCAGAGGGGGAATAGGATCCCGACCAATAGACCCCGCGTAACCAGACGTTCCGGGGTTCTGGAGCGGGGGGAGAAGGCTTGCTGGAAAGGGCAAGTGATGATTGGCTTCGTCTTCGGTGCGCAATACAGCGGTAACGACCTCGATGGCCACATTCTGCCAGAGCTCCTTGGGCAGCGTAAGCAGCAGCGGTGCCATGGTAGCGCGTGTCAAATGCGAGCTGAGCGCTGAGCTCGAGGCATCGCCGCACCGTGGAACAAGACCGGACCGCATGATCCGAGATGCAATCTCCCAATCGGAGATTCGCGGCGAAGTATGAGCGCGCATGGCCAAGACGCGTCCGAGACGGCATGCCGCCGTCTTCTCGCCACCACGTCTCACCACGTTCACACTTTGAAGTTCCACTATAAACACACCACATATACTCGAACTTGAGCCTTGGCTACTCGTTTAACTCCGGAGCTGGTGCCCTCCTGATCTTGGTCTTCCGAACATGTCTTTCGAACCCTATGCGAGCGCAACTCGTATTTATTCTACGAGCAATGATGACCGCTCTTCGGACTCAGGGAGCAGTGCCAGGGTGACGCAAAGCTTCTCTCTGTAGACAAACGAGCGATGGTGGCTGGTAAATCTTGAAGGTGAGTCTCATCTTAGTGTGTCTTGCAGCTAAATGTCACACTGACAGTGTATATAGCGATGACAAGCTGCGACTCGATGCTTCTGACACAGTACCTGCTTTGCAAACCGCCGTATATGTCGAACGACGACTCGGGTCGGACTCTTCAATCAATCCTGTGTGCTGGCTTGCGACTAACGGCGCAGAAATTTCCGAGAACAAGACTTTGTGTGAGGTTGGTGTTACTAGCGATGCGTGCCAGTCCATTGATCCAACCCCAGGCCGTCCTGCCATGCAGTGGGCGGATGGCCCCGCAGGTGACTCCGCAGCTACAAGAGTGGCTTTTGTAGACCCACGCACGTATTCGTGTTCACATAGACATTGTTCTCATCGGTGGTTCTGTCTTCGCGGCGGCGAGCAGCTGTTCTTGAATTTATGTGGCTTACATGGGCATCATACGATTCATTCGGCAACTATAGTCCACCTCCTTGACAGGGAGGAACGTTTCAGCGCGAGAGTGGGGGAACTTGACAGCACGGCGTATGTGGCGTCGACGATGTGCGGTTGAAGGGAGCTGCCGCAAAGGAGACGAGTGGGATTCTGAGGGTTAGTCGCATTCTCGACCGCACAAGATCGCCATAGGTGCCGTAGAGAAGCAACAGGAGTGCTCTCGAACACCATAGCGAGCGATAGCTTCATGTAACAAGGCGACAGATCAACGGAAAAAGCACAGGTGCGCTGGACGGGATATTGAGGAGCTGTGTCTTAGTGCTCCCGGTTCGTTTTCCGTGATCTACGTACTCGCTATGGTGCCTAACTCGATTGCTCAGGATCACGGCGATAGCAGCCACCACGAGGGCGTTACTCATCTCTTCCACCTCGTATGCGGCGTGCATCAGGAGCACCGGGTCCGACACCTTGCTTCACAGCCTCACACAGGTGTTAGAATTCGCCTCTTTGAAGTGCGTGCGCTAGTGCTACAAAGGTCTTACTACGGCGAACCCCTGGTCACTCGACATGGCCCACGCGTACATCGAGGAGTTTTTCAAGACATCTGCGCGGGCGGCGAGCATGAGCTGTGCGCCCTTACTCACGGTCTTGTAGTCGCGGCGACAACAGTCATAACGCTGTATAAAGGTTCGGAAAGACTAGACCTAGGCGCAGAATTTAAGTTCCAAGACGCATGCGGGACTCCAGCCGCAGGAGCTGCCCCGCAAGGCGCCTGGGAATTGTCGCCACCGGTGGTAATCCCTCGATTCTACGTATACCTCTGTCCTGTTCTATGTGTACGGTCCCAGAAGTCCTTTCCTCTTCGGGATCCGACGGTGAAGAGTTATGGCTGTGAAGAGCCAAAAACTCGAAATCGCTCAACGGGACGGAGGTGTGGTGGCGGTGGTACGCGCCATGGCTTGAAGAACGAGGGTATCGTCTACGACCCCGTTACCAACCTGGATGGGCGCCTCCTGCACAGCGCGCGT